CAGCTTTCTATAGCTTAAATATTATAGCTTAATCAAAGTGAATCTGGTAAGACTGTTGTCATTAGCCAAATATGTATATTTCTAAAACGTCAGTAGCGGTTGACTTTTTGAGGCTACAGGCGATGGGGAGATGGTCTTTTACGTTCAATTAAAATTCAGTTTTAAAAAGCTGTCTCTCATTGGTAAAAGAAAGGATCACCGTTATTTCTCGCCTCCTTATTAGAGCAATTTTTCAGGATTAAAATGGCATGCCAAAAACTGTTCTTAAATCTCAGATTCACCAACTGAAAATTATCTTTGTTCATTGTATGCCTCACCGATTAATCAATAACAAGAACAAAAGTATTTGTTCAGTCGTCAGTCATTAAACCTACACAAACACACACACACCCCTTACAATGTATGACACATGCATCATCTGGGAAGCTGCACAGCCTCTTAGGCTAGGATGCACCACAAGCCCAGGATGATAGCAGCATCCACAGTGGGCTACAGAAGCACTTACGGGCCAGTCTCCACTTTGATGGAACGAATCTTGCGGAAGCCACGTTCCATGATGCTGGGGCACTCCATCAGGAACTCACATCGCTTCCCCTGGAAATTTTCTTCCTCCCAGGCGGTGATCTTGAATTGACCCAGGGTCTCCATGTGCTGGCTGGTCATGGACAGCTTTTCTGCTGGGGAAACATGATATAATTTTTAATGCTTGTCCATTCAGCAACTGGTGGGGGTATTCCAGTGTCCCATTCATGCCACCTGAATGATACAGTGATCAGACTCCTTCCTTTCCAAGACTGGCAATGAGATCAAGGAGTAGCACTATGCAAGGCTGTTCCAGAAATGGCCGCTGAGAAAGGGCAAGCAGTAGCTTAAGGCACACCTGGGACCCAGAGTGCTGGGAAAGGTATTGAAATAATCAGGTGTTGAGCAGGGATGTGTGGCTAACTGGGTGGCTGGAAAAGTTCACAAGTCCTCCACCTCACCTCCTCCCACCCTGCTTTTATAATTCTCTTCTGCTGCTTCTTCCTTGGGACAGCCAGTGCAATGAAGGACCACTTGATTCTTGCCGACAGAGGTTGGATTCATGTGAACAGACAAACGGATGCCCTGCTAGACAAATTTAACCCAAATTCAGCAATGTGGTGGCTGGGGCTGATACTGGTAGTTCCTCCAAAGCACATGGAGAGTACCTTTTGTGGAGGGAATGGATGCTATGAAAGCTGAGAAGTCTTGGTTCTTCCCACCACCTCTCCCCCAGTAGTAGCTGAGTAGGTACCATTTGAGAAGGACAGACAGCTCACCCCAGGCAGCAGATTTGGGTGGTATTATTAAAGGGCAATGATGAGTGGGAAACTATTTCTTGCAGACTGAAGAAGCTACTTGGATGAGTAGCAAAACATTTCAACCTAATAAGAAAGAAGTCCAGTCACCATGATGCAACTTCCAGATATTTCTAGCATTATGAGATTTTTAGTATTATGGGAAGAGAGAATTTGGATTTTCTGATTCAGGCAGCAAAATATCTTGGCCAATCACTTTTTTCCTGAGCTAAGACAAGTCCCAGTCCTTCTTGCTGACAGTCATTTGGTCCACTCTGGATGTCATCATAAGATCCCAGATCCCAATAGTAGACTCTTCTTATTATCTAACAGTTTCAAGGGAGGTTATCAAATATCTTCCACCGGCCACTCTCAAGTGCAGAAAAAGCATGTGGGGCTGGGGTTTCCTGTATAGATTCTAGAGCAACAAATAACAAAAATAAATTGTTGGGTTGGTGCCTGTCAGTCCTTCCCTTTAGGACATACGGGCACAGATTCATCCATATCCATCCTCCTGTGCTCTGATTTTCACAAGATTTCAACACATTCTCTAAGTCAGGGATGTGCAATGTGCAGCCCTCCAGATGGTGTTGAGTTGTGGCTTTCATCCACATAACCCATAGTGAAGGACACTGGCAGTTGTAATGTGCCGCTCTCTGGAGGCCCACAGTTACCCACCTCTGCTCTAATCATTCCTGATGTGGATTCCAACACACGTGCTGCATGGATGCTCCTTGTGGCATTACATAGACGTAGACCAGACTGAAGTGCCACCCAGCCTGATCAATCCTCTGTACACCAAGACCATCCAGTCCCACCCCACCCCATCAATGAGCAGAATCCAGACCGCCACGAACAGCAAGCAAAAGGGGAACCCAAAGGAGGTTGGAAGAGCAAACCGCTTGAAATGACTAATGAAAATGAGTCAAATCAATATGGGGCACTTCACTGATTTCGGGTGGGAGGAGAGCGCTGGTGTCCTGCTGCTGCCACCCTCAGCAACCCTTGGTCAGTTGAACAGCAGCGGTAGGAGTTGAACCCCACGCAGAGCAATTCTCCTGCAATTTATCAGACAAAACACTTATTCTCTAAGGGAAGCCAAATCCTCGAGAGTGCCAGGGCACCGAACCTGAGCGCTCAAGGCAGAGGACGAGGTGTGGGGCTGTTTAGGGCAGGGGGCTGGTACTTACTTGGTTGGCAGGGCACAGAGGCAAGAGTGGTGGTGCTGGGCTGGGGGGTCCCAACAGCCTTATATAGCCTGGCCCGGCCAAGCGTCCAGCAAATGGGCACACACAGGTTGTGCTGAGTCAGCCGTGGCCGCTGCGGGAGGAGAAGCGGCTCGGGCCCAGCCTGTACGCTGTCCATTCCTCTTAGCCATTGTGAGGAGATGCCTCTTCTCTCCCCAGGCCAACAATGGGGAACAGGGGGCATGTTTGCTTAGCAGTGGAAGAGCACAAAAGATAAAGGCCCTGACAGGCCATTTTCCTTTCACCCTGGGAACAATGCACCAGCTCAGCCCGAGGATTAAGAACATCACCCGTTCCCAGGGCATCGCACGGGAGAGGTTGGCAGCGATTCCAGAGGGCAGAGGAGGCGCTGCCCGAGCCCCACCAGGGGTGAGAATCTGGAGCCAGGCATCTCCTCTCTCTCTCTCTCTGCCTTTTTGTGTCTGATTCTTCCCTGTCCTTGGCACCCCATATCCTCACAGCCCATGAACCTCGCCCGCACTGTACCTTGGGGTTATTTGAGGATCCCAAATTACCTCAGGCTCCCTGACAACACAGGGCAGCCACGATGAGAAGAAGAAGAAAAAACTTCTGTGTTGACATTTGCTTTTCATCCTAATCCATACATCAGGGTGAGGTTTTACAGCCTTCTAAGAGCTTCTTTGCACACTGCTTTTGTTTTTTTGTTTTTACCCAGATCTTGAGAAAGGTCCTTTTCCAGACTACAGCTCCCTGAAGCAAGCACAGCCTTTTCCAACATAGCTCCCTCCAGTCATGTTTGATAACGTGGGAGTTTGACTCCAGGACATCTGGAGGTGGGGGGAGGACATCAGTTTGGAGAAGGTTGACTTGGAGGTCCCCTAGACTAGAGGATACCCTCTCCTTCTCTGAGCCCACTTCAAAGCAGATGTTGGATTGTAGAAAAACTGTGAGCTGCTCCTTTGGAGTTCCAACAAGCTTCTGTGGGAGCCACCCTGGCTTCTATACATATCCTTTTGCTAAAATCCAGCAGGCTCTCTTGTGGTTCTTGAGCATCCCTCTGTGTCCCACCAGGGGGTGCAGGAGGGCAGGAATTGTGCAGGAAGTTGCAGAAGAGAAAAAGTAAATGGCAATTGCTAAACACAGTCAGCAACTATTAAAAACGTATTTTGCTCCCTCTCTTGCATTTCCTGCTTGATGACGATAATATTGAGTTCCTCTACCAAGGCTTGATCGTAGTATTTTTTGTTTGCTTCCCCTTCCTCTTTTACTCCCTTTCTCAGTTAGTCCTGCATCTCCCATTCCCTCCACACAGTCTCCCCTTTGGTCTCAAATCTTCTAAAATTGTAACCCTATGGGGAGGGACGGATGCTTTTCTATGGCATATAATGCACTTTTGGTGCCTCTGTCAGACAGACACAGCACACACACACCTTTTTAAAACAACTGATTTAAATATATTTTTAACAAGCTTAATCAGCATTTTGCCTTTATAAAGAGGCAGGTGCTTATTAAAATAAATAACTATATAGATGATTTTGAGTGATGTTGCCTTTTTATGATTGTGAAGGAAAAGGTAAGTTCCTCTTAGAGGTAAGATAACAGTGTGTGCAGATATATATCCAAGATGACATCAATGAAGTGGGGGGGGAGGAGCAAGAATAGGGTTCTTGGAAGAAAATGAAGTATTCATCTGTATATTTGCTTTGTCCTCTTTGGGGCGATGGCAGGAGACAAAGTGGACATATCAGTCAGTATTCCAATGATTGAAATCATTTTGGGTCATTTTTGTATGCTGATCTTCTTGTTCTTCCTCTCTTACTGGAGGTTGGACATCATGCCTCCAAACAAGTCTCCCAGATTCTTCAACCAACAGGTTCTTCTCCTTCCTGGACTTTGTTTCTCTTTATTTTACCCTTGAAGTATCAGCTGTAACAATCTGTACTTTGATTGTTTTTTTCATGACATAATTGAAGTACCCTAGTTTTCTGGATTTTAGGTGTTTTATGGGCTTCATTGATTTACTTCTTTGTCATTCACCCTCATTGATTCAGGTAGTTCTCAGCATCCAGACCATCATTTCGGTGGCTGTCCATGGACCCTGCCCTGCCGCAATTAAGATAATAATGGGTTTGGTAACTTTCAATGTACCTTCCATCCAATGAGAAGCCGTATCCCCTTCCATTTAGAAAGCAAGACCAAGTCCCAGTTAGCTGGAATTTGGTTTGTGTTAGGAGTGGGCAACTCTTAAAGATCAAGCAGCCTATTTTTTTTTAATCCCAGACACACATCAGGGGCCACACTTAGTAGCAAAAAATATCAGGGGCTGGGGTTGGGGGGAAGAGAAAAAAGAAGCCAGAAATGGAAATAAGTCCACTTCCCTTTTGTGAAAACTGGGTATTTGTTGGGGGAAGATGTGACATATTCAAAAGGGTGATTGGAGGCTTCTGGCAACAGCAGTTCACGTTGAGTTAGTTTGTAGGAATAACTCTCTATTTTGTAAAATGGGACAGTTTGATGGCCCACAGGATGGCACAAAACAAAGTCCCTGGGTGGCTGCATGTCGCTTCAGGGCCATCCTTCACCCCTGGTTTACATCCCTAGAAAAAGCGGTAGGGGCTGAAAAGAGACGGCATCCAGACGCCTTCCAGCAGCAGCGCCTCCCACAAGCGATTCAGCTGCCCCATACTTTGGAGGAGCTCCCTCTTACTTGCTCCTCTCTTACAATGGTGACCATCTTCTATCTTCCCAGCTGATCTGTCCTGGCCATTTGGCATTGCCTCCAGGGGTCCCCAGCAATACAAAGGCAGGTGGCAGGGATTTTATTCTCTCTCTCCCTCCCTCCCTCCCTCCCTCTCATCTTCTCTTGAAGTGATTGCCTCCCATTGTTAGCCCAGGGCCTACTGCTGCTCCTGCTCCATAAATAAATTTGATCTGTCAGACCATTTCCTGCAGCTTTAAAACAGATCCCATTTTTCTGTATCCAGTGTGGATTGCTTAAATGTTGCTTCCCTGCAAGCCAGGTTATAAGGGAAATGAGGGGCTTTGTATTAAATGAAAGATGGTCTCTACCTTGGTTACAGCATTTCAAGGACTATGTGAGATGCCTCCCCCTCCTCCTCTTTGTTTCTCAGTTTCCAGTACTGTAGGGGC